CATCTCCTCCATGTCACACTCGCCTCGGATACCCAACTCGTCGTTTCCCCTTCGAATTCCACTCGACAGTCTAGTCTGGAGCGTGATGTCCCCAATCCGTCTTCTCAGTGTATGCCCAATCCAATCGAATCCAATCCAATCGAATCCAATCAATCTCCACCTTCTCCTAATGCATATTTATTGGACGATGGCTTCCTGGTGGGTTGGTTCGTCGCCAGCCGGCCAGCCGGCCAGCCATAGTTCCTTCTTGCTTATTCTTATTATTCTATCCATCTGATCTGCTCTTCTGTATCGAGTGAGCGCAGGTGGCAGCTGTTGATGTTGTGTGTGTGTAGTTTGTTGAAAATGCTTTTCGTGATGCACCATCTGTCAACCATCACATAGAAGCACTGATTCACTTGACTGATTTAGTGTTGAAAATCCGAATCTTGTTGACACTTTATGCTGAGTGCAGTTCAGTGCAGTAGATCTGCACACTGGTTTCAGATGAATCAACGAAGGCCTGTCTTGCTGTCTTTCCGATCCCTACTTTAACGTGCTCATCTGTGCCACCGCCAGTATTTGAAACGATGCTGCCTAGGTAGAGAGGTAGGTGAAAGAGACTACTTCCTTTAGATTTCCCCCATTCACGGTGATTGGTGCTTGTTGTTGTTGTTGATGTTGTTGGTTGGATATCTCCATCACCTCTGTCTTCTCTACGTTCACCTGAAGAAAGTCCTGTCCTCACTGCCTTGCCTCTTCTGTCAACTTGTTGGTTTTTCCCTGCAGATCTACGAGTTTGTGCCACAAGACATTAGATATAAATCATCATCGTTGGTGAAATCCAAATTTTCTAGGGTATTTCCATCGGTTGGTCCAGCCAGCGTATGCCCATCTTCTCGCTCCTCACGGTTCGTTGCATGATCCAGTCCAGTCGAGTCGACCACAATCAGGAAGATGATGGGTGATAGTAGGTGGCAACCTTGTCTTACTCCTGTCTTCACTTTAAAGGCGTCACTGATCTTTCCATTGTGAGTCAATCGGGATGTTGCGTCTTCATATAGCTGTTGAATGAAGTTGATAAAGGTTTGTGGTACTCCATAGTATTGAAGCAGTTGCCAAATTACTTCTAGAATTAATGTATAACTCTCCCTGTTGCGACATATCACGACAGGATACGAAGGCAATCGATTTTCAGCCGTATCACCTACAGTCTTCAATCATCGAGTTCAGTTATGTCATATATCCCGAACTCAGAAGTTGGAACCAACAGTTAGAGGATTTATGGACGGATATTATGTCTTGATCTGACCATCATTAGCTTCTTTTCGACTGAAACATTTTGGTTGCAAGAATTTAGACGGATAAAGATTTCGCACTTCTGAGAAACCCAAAATTGAATGAAAACACAAGCCGAATAGCCTATCTCACTCATAGGTATGCCACTTTATGTGATCTGCGTAGAGGATTCTTATCCCTGAAAATTAGTGGTTTAAATGTAAATTTCAGCAACACTATGTATTTCAGATGATGATAAATATTTTTAAGGCCTAATGTATGTTGTATTTTCTGATCTGTTTGTATAAGGGTACTGAAGATTTGAGTCGATGCATGAATGGCATTCTCAACTTAGAAGCCACCTATGGTAGGAGTGATATGTATCTTATCGACATCCCTCTTGAGGGAAATTTTATTAAGACTGTTAAATTCATGCTGCCTACTAACTGTTTTAGACTGAAATTAGTAGTAGTAGTGGTGGTGGTGGCAATATCTTTCTTCGATGCCAAAGAATACGTAACTTGAGTAAAGCTAAATTACCTACCAATTTTTTTTCAGTCCTTGGCTTTGAATTAACTAACTAGTAATTCTATCTGTATATTTTCGAATCAACCTAACAAATAAGGCCAGTTGACAAGACATTAAATTAAAATAAACAATACGGAGAGATTAATATATTATAATATATCAATCCATTCCGTAACGCATACACTTTTCATTGATATATACTTAGTACTGCTATTCTTTCAGATAAATCGATTAATATTTTAGGTCATTTCGTTAGGCTAGACGCTTAAAATGAGTCACAAATGAAGGTCATTCAGTGGAATGAAACCTCAAGTAACTAACGTACTATTAGACCGAGTAGAGAAGTTTGAATTGTTACTCTTTATAAACATCCAGGCCATAGTTATTACGAATGTCCTGAGAGAAGTCGAGCGCTGAGTCAGGTTTATTCATTATATACGTAAGTTTTAACATATTCCCATTGTGTTTGGAAAATCGAAAACAAAATTTTCTGGTAGTCTTTGTTGGTTTATCTTTCAGTATGACACGCATGTGAATTTGACCTTGACTAAACAAAGTTTTAAGTTCAATCCTCATCTGAACAAAACAAAATTTCTAACATTGAGCCTCTATGTATAATTTTCTCACCTTTAAAATTATCTAGATGCTAGTACAACACTATCGACGTAAACATAATGTTTGCAACGCGTAAAATATCAACAGTAATGCAATCCAATCCAGTACATATTTGTATATAGTAGGTTAACAACAACAGCTGTTGCTTGAAGACCTATGATACAATCGGTTTGCCAGGGTCGAAGTAAATGAGTTTGGATTCAAAACTAGAGCCCTAAGCATGAACGTCGACTTTCTTAGCTAATGAGCCCATCTGCACGCTACGAGCAGACAACGTAGTTCCCAAAGTGCGAAGGTAACGGCGGTGTCGGTTAGCAGATAAATTATATGGCAGTTGGCATGATTACTAGCCACATCTAGAGTATATGCAGGAAAACAGTAGTATCCGGCTAAAGATTATTTTCTCGAACGCAGCTGTTACTTTATTGTGTTGATCGGGTTTATTTATCGTAATGCTCTTTGAGACTATCGTTTTAAGAAGTGTAATTAGATAGACTTAAAAGAAAAAGTAATTAACCTTTGATCCAATGGAAAAGTTAGAGTAGAAAGACGTAATAACTGTAACTTGTTTCCCAAGAATAAACAGAATTTCCAGCTTGGTTGTAAAAGCAGCACTGCTTGTTTCACAGAATTCCAGCACCGATGGCAAGGTTCGAAGTCAACTCTATTCAGCCTAAGTTGAATAGTTCCAGAAATGTTATGTGACCGATTGGAGGCGAGCAACTGGTGGGTTCTACTGTCACACCCCCGAGTCGATAAAACCACCGATACTATTCCAATTTCTTTTCCACCTATCGAAAAAGTAACCTTATATGATGTTGAATGCTGGAAAGTCTGAACTAACTCATTTGTAGCCGCACCGGAGTTTGTTTAGATTGATCGCTATCAACCTCGTTGCCAACTTAATTTTCTTCCTTTCTTCCCACTCACAATACACTATCTCTAGATTTTGACAGCTCTACGGTTTGTTGATGAAATAACAGCCCTAGCTTTATGAAGTGTGCTTCGAACCACACGTTAAAACATGAAATAAACTCACTATGTATCAAGTCAGATAACCAAATTCTAGAATCCTCAGTCATGAATTTATTCTATGTTTCTAAGATAAACCTGTTAATCCGTAGCCTTTGATTTCTGGTATGTTCAACATCAGCGACAGCTGTACGTATCCCAGACAAACATTTTGTCAATCCATCCAGTCATTATGCAAATTTACCACACCTAATGATGCTTCCAGTACTTATACAGCATATAAAGGGTAGTTTTCAGCGACTTTACTGAACAGAGTCATGTGATTCATATGATCTAGTTTTCTAGGGTCTACACTAAACCTAGTGAATACAGAAAAATTTGTGCAAACTATTTGTAAACAACGTGAAACTGAGGTCAGTAAATCGTGATAGACATGTAAACAATAGCACAGGAAGTGAAGCTTAATCCTGTAAACAACTATTTACACAACACTGACAACATCATATCCTTTGCGGGTAAAGCATACATACCTTACGTAATCATAAAAAAATGTTAGCTATGAGTATCCAGGGTTGAACTAAGCACCAAGTCACATGATTCTCTGAAAACATATATACGTATATACCAGCTATCCAACCTCCTTATTTAATAAAACAGAAGGATTTTTGTGAAAAATATGAGAAGTGCGTTTCTGGAATGCTAAAGATTTTTCTGTTGGTCATTTTGTCAACTTTTGTTCTTGATCAAGGTAAATAAGGTAGAAAAAAAGAAAATACATAAATAGTTTTTGAGATAGTAGAGATCTTTGGCTGAGAGAGCAACAATCATAGCAATTTCGAGTCCTTTGAGCTTTGTTATTCGAAGTTGATGAAGTCACCTTAGCTGGTGATAAAATGTCCAAGAATCAACCTCAAAGGTCAGAAAAGGCCAAACAATTTTCGTATACAATTTCGTTTATACCAATTAGAAAACAGTGCTAGATTATTTCACAATGATTATGATGCTCCTGTCTAGTAGTAAACAAAGTTAAATGGGTCACATTGGTACGCTTCAGTGGGTGATGTCTCGATTTATGTGAGTTTGGAAATATGTTACATTACATTGGAAAGGCTTCTAGCACTGCCTACCAATATCAACACATTCAGTACAATAACGGAATTGTATTTCTATCTATACAAAGCCGCATAATGTAACTTAGAAACCATTGGCATTATTCACAATTGACGGATTTTGCTGTTCACACATTTAACGACTATGATTCAAAGAATATATCCAGAAGTCACGTTATGTAATTAATTGTGAAACTTGAGAAGTATTTCAAAAGTGGCTAGAAATTCTGACTATTGAGAGTGTTTTTTTCATTACCATGGAGATAAAAATTGAAAAACACCATAGACTTAATAAAATCGTAGCTTTACATGTAACGGTGAGTTAATTATTATGCATGCGAACTTTTTGTTCTACGTTTAGGGACTCCACTTTTAGCTACACGTTCGAATGATTTTTCAATTTATCTGGCTTCATAAATACTGAAGACGAAACTCTTTTTAATCATGTATGTATGTGTGTGCGTGCGTAAAACGATATCGTTTGTTTACTTCTTGTTTGCTCCTTCAAATGTTTCAAAGGCGTTCCTCGTCAAAAAATCCTCATATGTGGGTCACCAGATGATATATCACCATGTCTGGATTATGCAATCACAGCAACACCCGGAAAAATTGACTATTCCTCCTTAATTATTGCCAGCACTGATGTAAGTTTATATGTATATGTAAATATGCGTGAAGGTAACTTTGTATGTATAGTGCGAGCCCTAATCATTATTAGCCATGCGAAAGGATTCGTAAATGGTTTGATGCATTTTAGCCTGTCAATTGTATTTATGCTATAACACTGCCTCTGAACAGTCATTACCTACGTGTAAATCTCGAGTTTTCAGTAAAATTGTTACATGTATTATGTTTGGAAGGTTCACTGTTGACTTCCTAACTCAAAACATCTATCTAGACAATGAAAAGTCTAGTTAGTATAGAAATTATGAAACAAAGCCATCTCAGACAGAAAAATTGAAGGATATGTGTGAAAAAATTAGTAAAATGTTGGTCTATGTGCAAAACGAATTCGTCGATATTATGCTAATTCAACAGTTAACGATCATCGTCAGGAATTTGAATATCACTCAAGAGGAGAGTAAGATTTTTGTTGACCAGCGATTCTTCCTGCTCACACATCAATGACAGACATATAGACTTGGTTGAGTGGAATCTCCTGTTGATAAACTCTTCAACCGCGAGTAGTGAGGCTCTGTTGAGCAACAAATATCGCTGGCCAAATCAGGTTAGTCTAACTATCGGACATTACCTCTAATCTCCTTTGTCTTAGCACCACTCACTAGCATTCTTTATGTATTTGGGTAATGAAACTTAGTGATGATCGATGTTTGATATTGTCCAACTACTAATACATTACGGTAGCACATTTCAATAATTTACTCCGTTACTTCTGTATCAGACAGGTGATCGTTCGTAGTCTTGCGTAAATAGTTTGTTGTATCAACCTACATTCACATTTCACTTGAATAGATAACAAATCAGCCGGTTATGAGGAAGTAACAGATGTGTCTTGTGTAGAATAATGAGCTGGCTGATGTGAGTAATTCAGAGTAAAACAGGAATGACTCCCAAATGACAAGTGGTGACAATCCATTATTCAAGCCTGTATTTCCGTGTTGAACTGAGCGATTTAAACCTTCAGACTGGGGTTAACGACACAACTATAAGCAATGGTTGATGAGACCTGAAACCGATTGCTTTATTTACGTCTTAATCGTCATATTTCGTTGTTCCCTTTGGCCTATCTGCTTTATCTTATATGGCTTTCTACAACCTTTTGTCATATTATATGCATTACTCTGTTTTCGATCTTATTGCATTGTACATTGGTGTGATGATCTGAGATGCTGCAACATGAACTGTCATGCAACTATTCCACATCCCATGTTGGTATAAACTGACTGAATTCATTATTAATGAATAATCTATCTCGGGAAATTGATTTTTCTAACGTTTTGTGGAGTTATCACTTATGAACTGGGAAATGAAATCAGTCACTTTCGGACAGATTCAATTTTAATAGTAATTGTATGAAGATGTAGTTCACTGATACGCACACCCAGCCTTCATCCATTTATTTAGGAGTTTAAGTCCAATCAAGTTTCTGGTCAAGTTAGAGTTCTTCGTATCAGTCCATAAAGAGCTAATTGGATTAGGGTATTGAAGATGGTCTTGGCTAGTAAATGGACGTTTATTTTCAAAGATGATAGGTGAGACTGAAAAAAACCTGGGTCATATCTGAAGTCAGCGCAGACGATTTCGAGTTACCCACATAAATCTTCGTTTGTCTGATGACCAAAGTTATCTCAGGTACCTTAGTTAATTAGCAGTAGAAATGAATAGTAGCTAGAAGTGGAATCCACGGTGGGCATTTGATCCTATTTAGGACTTGTCAGCTAGATGTACAACCAATAACATCAAAATTATATCCATCGCACAAGGAGTGACTATCGTGACTCAGTAGCCTATTAAGTAGTGTCCTGGTGTTTGAAGTGACGGGTTTTGGGTTCCGGTTTCAGTAGGAATAACATCTTTCCCTTAGGGTTGGGTATCTCCAGCTGATTCCATTGAGTCACTACCCATCAGTACTGTTAAAGTGAAACTGTCGGCAGTATCGAAGTATCTACCCATATACCAAGTGTAGCCGATCAACTCGTTCCAATTGACAATGGGAAATTACAAGCTATGAAATCAGTCAATTAACACCTATAACCGTTTTTACCGAAGTGGACATCAACATTTAGTGTCAATTATTACACATACACGCCTAAATGTTAGTTATTCAGTAAGGAAGGAGTAGGGGTTAGGAAAAACTGTTTTTATCGTGGGAATCTCACCGAGATTACACTTGACCCAAAACGACAAGTGTCTGAATTGATAAAAATTATTCACTGCATGTCTATTTATAACATGGTTACGTAGTGCATACAGTTCTCCTATTATTTTACCTGAATACTTCCAGATGAGTCACGAAATAATTTCGTATTCACTTCTATATTTGAATTAGGGACAGTTTAGGTCACTTACATCGTCATCACATCAGTCTCTGGATTTCTTGTTCAGCACTCTGCTAAAACTTATCACTAACCTCTTAGAAAATTCTATTTAGTCATGAAGTATGATACTGAGCTTCCGCGGGAATGACAAACTACCTAATCATATCGCATCCTAGTTCCATTTGGATATAAATAGAAAGACCAAGTTGATGATGATGTTAGTTGAAATCTGCCCAATAGTATAACTAACAAGCGATCCGGAGTCATCCTCAATTTTTTTTATCCTAACCCAGTAACAGTTTCGCAAGATTCTGAATCCCTCAGCGATGGGTTTTAATGACTAACCCAAAAGCCAAATTTAAACCTGGTTAGGATAACCCTTTACTTATATTACTGAAGGCAATGTAAACAATTAAATTCTGGATATCATCCGGTTTATCCTTTAGCATCATGTCAGTTTCTTTGGCCATAAAAGCTACAATCATCCATTAATTACCTGTTCATTTCATTAACCAATCAGAGCTATCAGTCGACCTCAAGTGGATAGGTTAAAATTTTCAGATGGATATCGAGACATTATTACAGTACATAATGCTCCTAATAAACTGTCCAATACCTATTTTTACTACCTGTCCTGTATATTTCATTGTGTGATGTCAAGGTGATTTCATTATGGACTGTTTCTTGAGAGTAATTATAGTCACACTCTCCCACTCAGTATTGGCTAAGTCCTACGGATGACTTTAAAGGCCACCCTAGCAACTGCTGAGATAACCAATCAGGTTGCGGTATTTTGGCTGGGAGGACAGTTTTTCACAGAATACCGGAAAATAATTGGTTGTTTCATCATTTGCTAAGGTGGTCTTTAAAGTCACCCGAGTTCTACTCATCAAGTGCTCCAATTTCACCTCTGATCTAAATGATCGCACAATCTGGTAAAAGTTAGTCACATCATCAATAACGCAATGGTGATAAGACAAGGTGACATTGAAGCATCGAGGTTAATTTTTTGTTTTTATAAAACATAGTACCCGTTAAGAATACGAATGTGTTTTGCTAATTATTTATTTTATTATTTGTCCCATAGGTTCCTAGTAGAACATAGGGCTTCACTAGCACATCACCATTTCCACTCTCTTCTCTGCAGTTTCTTCAACATAACTCCACTACTGCCATTAACTTTTCATTTCTTTCTCACACCATCTCCTCCATGTCACACTCGCCTCGGACACCCAACTCGTCGTTTCCCCTTCGGGTTCCACTCGCAGGCCTGGCCTGGCGCTTGATGTCCCCGAATGGTCTTCTCAGTGTAAGCCCAATCCAATCCATCTCCACTTCCTTCTGCGTCTTGCTGTCATGATTCTGGAAGAGATTGGTTCCCACTGGATGACAGCCTTCAATGGTCTTGGAGACATCATGATAGCCACTCGAAAACTCAGTGTGCTCATGATTATTCACTCTCCTCTACAGTTGACAGTTTAGACAGTCCACTTCCATCCCATCTGCTTATCCCTCGCAGATTCCTGGCACTTCTATGCTATACCTCCTCATCTGTTTTGCAATCTGGATAGCCTTATTAGGTTCAAATATTGTGCGGACGTTCCATGTCCCCATCCTTACTTTCGCTTTCATCGAGAAAAGACACATTGGCCGACTAGTTTCCCAAAGGCTTTCACCAACTAGCGTCATTTCGTCTTCCCGATTTGGGCGAGGAATAAGCTTATTTTTATGTTTTATATTTTCTTTGTGGTTTGAAGTTTCTTCAGCGATTGGATTGGTTTTACGTTGTAGGGTTACTAGTCCTATGCCCAACCTTCCCTCTTTATCCGGGCTTAGTACCGACTAGTAACTAGTGTACTAGGCGAGGTTGTTTTGTTAATAATGTCTGCCAATAAATATGATGTTTAGGTTAAACAAGGCATACTATTGATGACCAATACATTTTTACATCTACTATAAATCGGTTCACTGTGAGAATAATCCGCACCACTGACAGTACTAATGAAATACGCATAAATCTCAGCTTAACCATATGTATATGACAGGTTTCTTATATTGACTGACATTCTTCAATTCAAACAAAATAATCATTCTATTGGCGTGTATGCATTTAGGTAAAGAACAGTAACAATTACAAAGGTATATATTATCATGTGAATCACGTGGTCTGAACTATTGAGTAGAAGCGATGTGGATATAATTGAAGATAAGTGATAGCAGAGATTATCATAGCTAGATCATAAAAGTATGATTATTTAAAAAAGAATTTCTAAATATTTTTCCCCAGTTTAATAAATGATGTATTTCAGGACATTTGATGGTCTAGCACACATGATTCCATTTATCATCGTTGTCATGGTAATGGTTACAAGCAATATCACTACCTAGGCTTTTACTCTACACGTTGTAACTTCTCATTTCAACTAGGAGATTGATCCCGTGTGATGACTTACTGATAGGTATGAATGTAATCATTCAGCCTGTGAATTTGTAACTTTGCAAACACCATTCATGAAAATACATCTACTAGATAGTTTGTTGTTAAAATACAAGGACCAAAACATTTTTCTCCTGTTTGGAACTCCTAACCAATCCATCACGAACTCAGCGATGTTACGATACGGTCAATAGTTGGTAGACAGTGAAGTACGAATATGAACTTACCGGTTGATGAATACAGTGTCGTCATAGAACAAAGTGTTACGACACCACAGTGGAACTTACTGGGACTCATTTGCCAGGTTTCATTCTTAATGGCACCCATCGGTATGGTTGACCATATACTGATCGATCCATATGAACAACTTGATTGATAATGAGGGGGTAGAAGTAGTCATAGCTCTGCAATTATGTTCCTGAAAGGAACAGAGGTAGCATCAATATCTCCCGACTACTTAGCATAAAGGCATAATCAACTACCTTTTATGAAACATTTAATAATGCCAGTTCATAATAAAATTGTTTCCACTTGTTGCTTATCTACTGAACAGATAGATGAATTGATTGCTCACTACTTCGGAAAGATCAAAATTCATCTTGTCAACTGGGATGAAACAGATTATGAAGAAATGCTGATTGAACGAATACGACCTAGATCGGATAACTTTATAATCCCATTGGTTATTGAATTTCAACCGACTATCAGAAGAATAAAACGAATAAGAGAACTACTAGAAAAGGTGAGAGAAGTATAATATTTTCCGCTGTTTAATAACATACATATATACACGTTAGAAAAAACTGATAGTTTTCCATGGTATTGGCTTTGCTTTGATTTTTATGGTAAGACTGATAGATTTTTTTGTGTTCATATGTTTAACAGTAGGTTTGCGGGCTATTACCAAGGGGTGGGTAGGACAGGTTCATGCACACTGAATCTCTGATGAATGGCGTGAACAAGGAGTTTGGGATCTGGACTATGCGGTTAGTTATTTACAAACAAGGTGTATCCAAAATATTTGTGATTCCTAGTATCGACAAGTAACCAAGTGAACTAGATGAGTCACAACTCTGATTATCTCTTGCACAATGGAGCGGTTGCGAATTAAGGTTCCCATCAGCACAAAAATTATGTTTAGCAAACTGATCTATACCGGTGCATGGATACTTCTTGACCAAGGGTATGATAACTGTATATTAATTTCAGTGGAGACAGTATCACATTTGGCGACTAGTTGAAGTTAGTCAGCAATCCGCTGTAACTGGATATTTTATGATCTCTGAAATATTATCGTAGTTATTTTTTAATATCTGCCACCTTTCCAACCGTCCATTTATTGATTCCAGTATTGCTGTAATGTGTACTTACTTTTTATTGTCTGACGCACTGTGCACCCGATTATCTACTGTTACAGTGGCAGTGCCGAACATTTCCAGAGATTTACTCCTCAATGGTACCTAGTCTTTTGTTTAAAGTAAAATAACCAGACTATCTGATACAATATTTAAGTGTAATCCACTGAATGTAGGCTGGAGGTGCGTTTTCGGAGGTTTCTAAATGAGAGAAAAACCTTAGGTTAGTTCATGCTAGAGATACATTTCACCTAGTCGACAAGTATGGAGCTTCGATTTGGTTTTTCCACAAACGATCAAGTATTATCATTTATGTTACTTGCTGATTACTAGGACAGGACAATAATTAACCAGGTTGCATGCTGTGTCCGAGGATAAACATCTTCCTGAAAGGTGCATAAGTAGGCAAAAAACCTAGTGATATTCATCTGTAATAATTAAAAGTTTTTGAAGAGAAATACTCCAAAATGTAGCTTAATACTATGACATCGAGTGCTGAGTGCGTTTTTCAAAGTTGATGTTCTTTGTATGTCTGATTGATTTGTAAACTGTGCCCTATATTATGACACAAAGTTTCGATCATGGATTCACCCACGTATCAGTGCGCAGTTCTATAACGTTCTATAACGGAACGAAACAACTTTCTACTACTTTGTGCTATCCCATGGTTCACAAGTTAATCGATTTTGAAGATGAAAACTTTTTTCGAACCAATCAGCTACTCTATAAATCACTTAAGCAGAAAACATAATCGATTATTATTGATTTTCAGTCACCAGGCGTGTTAATAATAAGAAAGTAATGACAAAAGAAATGTATCATACCTTAAAAAACACTACAGAAATGTTTCACATGTGATATACTTCGACATAGACTTCCCGAATTTCTAATGAGAAACCTTAGCTTATGGGGTCAACCAAGGCGGATATGAGGATAAGTTTGTATTGATGGACAAGTTATATCATGAAATGAAAGGAGTAGGAAAACATGAACCATTGAACTCCGATCCAGTGGTAACCTAACGGTTCTGAGCATGATCCCTGGAAAGGTCATAGGTGCGCACTGCTGAAGAGTCATATACTAGGACCATCCATTGCTCCCAAGTTTTCAGTGGCTCTCCAACTGATGTCAGTCTGCGATGAATACTACCTAGGAACCAATCAAGCCCTAGAAGCCACCGACTAAACGCAATTTTCGAATTCACTGAAACTTTGAAACGATACCACGATGGCTAGAGTTACGTTGATCATATGACAAACTTACGTACATGGTAACTAACCCAACATGTAGCGTGAGTGGTATGCTACTGTATGGCTGCCAAAACAGTGATAGATGGAGTGGCATTCAAATCTATGACAAGTTGGTTGGAACTTAACTACCTTAACTAAATAAGACATAAGTGCGCACTGGCGTTTACCAATACTGGTGCGGCCAGACGATCCTTAATGACAAGCATCAACTCGCAAGGAATTAAGGCCCTTGACCTACTACTATTTACATCTAATCACCCGACAACAAGCGCAATCGTAACATATAAGTCAGTGGACACATCGCTCAATTCGATGTCAATAAACTTCAGTAAGTAAGTGTATAAAAGAGTAAGTAGGTGACACTAGTTGCTATTGTGCAAAAAATGTCATCACCAACTAAGTAATTCAAAAACTCATGCATCATTTCTAAGCGTGAGTAATTCTGACAAATTTGGGTCATGATGTTTAATCCACAGGTATATAGATTACATTGTTTAAATCCATCAAAACTATATAAATATTTTTGATGCTCTATTTAAACAGTGATTACCATATCTCGATATTGATTATGTTCAGACCATTATATGATATCCATGTGTGTCAGTTGAAGTATACTGTGTGGTATTGGTTGAAAGTACGACTATTACCGAAAATTCAAGAATATGAAATACAAGGGGAAGGCAGTATTTCAGAGAATTCATCTGATTTCAGATTGTGTAAGAGGTCTGAAGTTTTATTATTGACTCAAAATACCTGGTAGCAGATTTCATAGTGATATTCTTTAAGACTGATGAAGACAAGTTGTCCACCTGTCTAAACTTTGTCAGTTTGTGAAACACTGAACCTGTCGGTAGAAATGTCCGAGAAAACAGAGGTTAATTATGTGTTATCATGATTAGATATGTTCGCTACTTCGTCTGCTTTGAAGGTTGAACCTGGTTCTTTAAAAACACCTTTTTTCAGCTATCGAAACAGCTTTGTAACATCAATTCAACATAGAAATTAGAAAAAACTAATTGACCGATTTGAAATGTGTTTAATTTTAAAATAGTAGAGCTTACAAAACCTAGTGTAACTCCAACAACTTTGTATATACTTCTCCTGAAAAGTTTCAGAAAAACGATAAAACATCAGTTTTCAGTAACTATGAGTTTTTGATTGTTTAGATGAAATCATCAACTTTACTCTAATTTCCTGTAATACACAACATAGTGTCGAGTTACATGTGTGAGTATGCTAGTACGGTAAACGTTATATAGTGTGATTCATCACTGTAAGCATTAGGCTGAAGGCTGATAATTACTACAATAGTAATCAGTGTTTCTCAACTCACACATTTACCGTATGGTCATATCAGTTAAGATGGCAAAATTTAAGCGTGCATATTATAAACATCAGGCGTAGGTGAAGACCTGAAATGACTTTTTTTCTCTAACAGTTATAGAACATGGTAGAGAGCTAGCATTATTTTAAAAGAATAGTTACCTGGCAATATCAGTATTACTAGTAGTGATAATAATCACGAATAAAATGACTAAAATCGAGTGATATGTAGTATTCATTACTTGAAGATGAGGTTCTTTTCTCTCTTTGATTTGAGTAAAAATAAATAAGTAATTATACGCATGATCTGTTCTTTACTTCGACAAAAGAAAAGAGTACTTTATTTCTCAGGCATACCATACAGAAATATGGGTATATATATATATATATATATATATATATATATATATATATATATATATATATATATATATATATACAATTGTATCCACGCTTTAGGTAATCACGAATAATGTGTAGTGAAAATGCGTGATCAGTAAGACTGTGCAGTGGTATGTATGATATTATTTAGAGCTGATGTTGTTACATAATTTCTAGTGTACATTAGTAATTATCATTTAAGTGTAATGCACATAGTTTAGTTAATTAATACTAGTTAAGGTTGATAATAGCTCTCAATGCATCAACTGCCGTCTTTGACGATAGCACCACCACATTAGTGTCATTTTGGCTGAATAGACCAACCGCCTTAATTAGTTAAATAGCTAGACGGGTTACTATTCACTTGTTTAAAACAATAATTTCAATTTAATTAAAATAATTACTGACCGATATTGGTAGTAATGATCTTTAACAGATTCAGTGAGGGTAAAATATCCGTCAATTAGCTTACTGTATACACAATGCATTGAATGAGGTTAGAGAATGTCGACAGTTACATTTTTTACAAAATGGTTAACCGATAACATAGTGTACAGTGTAAGCTGATGTACTCTCATATATGGCTTTACAATAATTGACCTATCTGCTTGAAATGATACGATTTTGGATGAATATTAATTGGAAGAAATACCCGCTTACTCCTTCTCTTGTCAATAGTTTTATAGGCTCTTGCAAACTGATCACTAACTATCATGGATATAAAACGACTAGTTAAGATATAGTGATAGCATTATCTATCTTGAGAGAAGTTCCCCGTGGACAGTGACGTTATGCATATGGCTTCAGGCTGAAATATGGGCATATGTCGACTGGGATGATTCATATATATTGTATGTATGCCCAGCCACTCTCCATAAATATGCAACATTAAGTAGAAAGATATATATATATATATATATATATATATATATATATATATATATAAAACAACAGAACACATGTTCTATAATGTACGATAGAGGGCAACCAGCGTGGTGACAAGTGTTTACAGAATACATATAAGTAGTATCAAGTGTGATGTCGGGAAACACTGAGTTATAACAGTCGATAGTAGAAAAGAATAAACAACGTTTGGTGGAAATTTAATGGGCAAGAGTACAAATTTACAGTGAGCACAGAAAAGTTCACTATTATATAAAACACGGATTTTGTTTGCTAATAGCGACCTTACCACTATTAATTATAATTTGTCAATAAACATGATCTGTTGCCTTCAGCATTGTTCTCTTCACTAGAAATCTAGATTAAAACTGGGCTCGTGTGGATTGAATTCGGCAAATCATTAGTTACTGTATTAATTGGCACAAATACAATAATTAAATCTCTAGCATGTTCAGTTTCATCATCGCTTTAAACCACAGTTTGAATATGATTGTGAGGCCAAACTATTAGAAGTTTTGTCACTTGGCCCTAACTTTTGTAATAGTCGTAATATGATTAGCAAGATGAGAGCGGAAGTGCAGTTTGAGAACTTGTTTACACAGACAGAAGGAGTAGTACTGTCATCCAGTGAAGACGTTGGCAGAATTAAGCCTAAACTCGTTGACTCCGGCCTTAGGTGAGCAAGTAGTAAGAAAGATACGGAGTATTACAAAAAAGTGTAGAGAGAAGCTTTGCGAAAGCTTAAAACAAATACGAATATTGGAATTATCCCGTTACTTAAACGATAAGGTATGGTTCTAAGGGATAAAAAGGAGACGACATGAATGCCTTACTAAGTGGTGAGAGTAAATTTCAGAAATTAGCCGCTTGTAGGTAGTACGACAGAAGAAACAGAGAGACATCTAACTGAGTCACTGAAAAAGATAAAACGGAAGTGTTTCATTTCAGAAACCACCTTTGAAATGCTAAAACCTACTGGAACTATTATGCCTAAACTTTATGGTCTGCCAAAGTTACACAAAAACAGATTGGCTCTCCGACTAGTTCTAGACATATCAAACTCTCTATATTATGCAATCACAAAACCGAAGTATTGATCAGCTAGGATTTATTTAAAAAGGTAAAGTTAACCAAAAAGGTTTAAATTTGTCAGACAACTGGAAGGTAAAACTAACCTATTCATTGAAAAAAATATAAAACACACTTTTCCAGCTTCAAAGGAAGGAAAGTCACAATCGTGCAATGCTGCGCACCTACAAATAATGCAGAGCAAGAGAAAAAGGAGGAATTCTACAGACAACTCCAATCAGCATTGGACAAGACCCCACCCCAGTTGGCGACATCAAAATTCTAATGGGTGGGGCGACATGAATGCCAAACTGGGAGGGGACAACACAGGTAGAGAAATAACCATGGGTAGAGAAGCGCTAGGTGAGGTGATGAACGAGAATGGAGAATTGTTTGCAGACTTCTGTGCATTCAACGATTTGGTGATTGGAGGCAGTGTGTTCAAGCACAAGGATATCCAAAAAAAACGACATGGATTTCACCAGACACCACGACACACTAAAAATCAGATCAATTTTATCCCAATCTCAAGAAAGTGGAGACGCAGTCTACTGAACACAAAGTCAAGAAGGGGAGCAGATGGAGGTTCAGACCACTCACCATCTAGTGCAAGAAACCTTCCAAATCAAGTTAAAAGCCTTCAAGGAAGTTGGTGGTAGACCACAGTTCAAGTACAACACTCGGAAACTGAAGGACGAAACTACAAAGAAAATCTTCACGGCAGCCATCTAGACAAAATGGGAGATATCGAGCAACATCCCTGAAGAAACCTGTGTGGAAGAACCCTGGAAGTCTTTGAAAGAGATGTGGAAAGAAACCTGCACAACCGTATTAGGAAGGAAGATCTCGATGGACACATTGAAGCTGATAGAGGAGAGGAGGATGGTGAAGTAGATGAACCAGTGCGAGGATGCACAACGAAAAGAGGAACTGAACACAATCTATAGAACACTCCACTGGACAAAGAAGTGAAGAAGAGTGCACGCAAAGACAAAAGACACTTCCTCGACACACTGGCAGGTGAAGCAGAACAGGCTGCAGGTAGGAGCTACAGAAACCTGACAACATTGTATCAAATAACCAGGATACTATCTGGAAAGAGATCAACGCAGACGAAAGCAGTGAAAGATAGTGAAGGAAACTTAGTTGCCACGAAAGAGGAGAAACAAAGGAAACAATGGGCTGACTACTTCAAAAAGCTCTTGAGTCGACCACCACCTGCACTTTGTCCAGAAACGACACCTGCAGCCACAGAAATACAAGTGAACACAAATCCCCCAACAAAAGTCGAAGTCCTGAGCTCCATAAAGTCGCTGGAATCTGGGAAAGCAGCGGGACCAGATGGGATCCCGCTAGGAGCACTGAAAACGGACGCAGGGATGACAGCGGACATGCTGACACCACTATTACAAAAGGTCTGGAACGATGGGAAGGTACCTGGCGATTAAAGAACGGCTACCTTGCCAAACTCCCGAAGAAGGGCGACCTAAGTCTTTGCAAAAACTGGCGAGGAATCATGCTCCACTCCTGTCCACCCCAAGCAAAATATTAGGCCGCATCATCCTGGACACACTAAAGGAGGCGCTGGATCCAAAACTACGACCGGAACAGGCAGGCTTCAGGAAGTACAAATCATGTGCGGACCAAATTATAACGCTTCGCATCAACATACGACAGAGTATAGAATGGTAGTCAACTCTCTAACTCAACTTCATCGACTTCGAAAAGGCCGTCGACAGTGTCGAACGAGAAGTAATCTGGAAACTCCTTCAACACTACCGAATACCACAAACCTTTATCAACCTCATTCAACAACTATATGAAGACGCATGCCACATGCCAAGTAATTCACAATGGGAAGCTCAGTGATATCTTTGAAGTGAAGGGAGGAGTAAGACAAGGCTGTCTACTATCACCCATGATATTCCTGATTGTGGTCTAGTGGACTGGATCATGCAGCAAACAGTGAGGAGCGAGAAGGAGGAAATACGCTGGACCGGGGAAAGATCCTAGAAGATTTGGATCTCGCCAGTGATGACTTGTGTCCAATGTAGCACAAACTCGAGGATTTACAGGCAAAACCTAACAAGTTGGCAGGAGAGGCAGGGCAGCGAAGGAAGACGGGACTTCAAGTGGACGTAGAGAAGACAGAGGTGGTGATGATACCCAACCAACGCCACTGCCAACAACAAAAATCTCCAATCACCACCGACGGGAGAAACGTAAAGGAAGTAGCCTGTTTCACCTATCTAGGCAGCACTGTTTCAACTACAGGCGGCACAGGCACAGACGAGGATGTCAAAGCCAGCCAGGATCGGAAACACAGCAAGATAGGTGTTCATTAGCCTGAAACCAGTGTGGAGGGAGATCCTCTGCACTCAGCCAGCACAAAGCGTGAACAAGATCCGGATTTTCAACACAAACGTCAAATCAGTGCTCCTGTATGGTTCAGAGACTTGGTGCGTTACGAAAAGGATTTCCAACAAACTACAGACATTCATCAACAACTGCCTATGCTAGCTCGTTACTGAAGATCAGATGGCCAGAATAATAAGAATAAGCAAGAAGGAGCTCTGGCTGAGCAACGAACCAACCAAGAACCCATCGCTCAACAAATATGCAGAAGGAAGTGGAGATGGATTAGGCATGCACTGAGAAAACCATTCGGGGACATCACGCGACAGGCACTAGTGTGGAACCCAGATGGGAAACAGCGAGTTTTACGTCGAGGCGATGGTGTGAGGTAGAATTGAGAGCTTGTGGGAAGTCGTGGAGCAAGGTTTAAAAGATTGCAGAGAACAGCGTGGAATGGAGACGTGCTACTGAAGCCCTATGTTCCACTAGGAACCCAAGGAACAAATAATAATAATATCCTGCTTTAATGTATGAACGTTGCAATTTGTGTGATCACCAGAGTAATTTAATGTTTTAATGTGGTATCTCTTGAAAAGGATAACCAAACTTCTATTCTTAGCAATTCAATATCCACTTTTATTATTTTATCTCACAACAGGATGGCACACTAGTAATACCAAGCGAGAATCCTACATGGCGAATACGATATACGAATTTGATGAATAGTTTTACAAAAAATAATGGTACATTGATTAAGTTGGCTGAGAATGTATTCGATGCTGGATTCACACGCCAAATTGATCATCTGCTGGGCAGAAGGCATATGCATTCACGCATATATTTTGGATACGAAAAACCGATAGAATCACCACAGAAATTTATAGACTAACACTTTAACAAGCATGCTTAAGCAAAAATATACTCCTTACAATTCCAGATGAACATATCCGTATCACATTTATTCGTATCATGCTCGTCTGTCTGTCATATAACATCCGATTTCAAAATCTAACACATCGATCTCCACTGTACTTATATTCATCCCCTACTCTATCGCGGCAAATTCAGCCAACCTGGAGAAAAATGATACCCTACTTTAAATTTTCCCTGGCACTGTCAAAAATACTCAGAAAAATGGCAGGGATACAAGTAACCATTCATATGAAAATAATAATAATAATATTTACGATGATAATTGGTGAATTTGTAAAAATATCTTAATTTTCCAATCATGTATATAACTTCCTCCTTACACATAAACATAATATTTTGTTGTAAATGACATATTACTTACAAACTAATTAGTAGTTTATTTATTATACTTCATTTCCACGGGCTGATAGCAAGAACAAAGAAAGGGCTTTCTTTAAATTGTATTTTTTGTTCGAAAGTCATTCAAATCATCCGTAATAGAGATATCACCGTCATCATCTTCTTCGTCTCCCGAATAGCCTTCTTCCTTTTTTACAACAATATGATTTTCCAATTGTTTTGGTCGGTTTGTACTGTCTGTTAGTTTTTTCTTTAATCGCATTTCATATAAATCCTTTTCATTTTCTAGTTGTTTGATTTTCTCCCATTTAATCCTAAAGTAAAATTGAAGCACGAAGTGGGTGATTAAGCAAGCAGACGAGGTAAATAATAACAAAGAGGAAGTTATAAAAACTGAGGAAATGGTGTTAGAAGAATTAAAAGCTTAGTGATTAGGCAATAATGACTTTTAGTAAAGACCAACCGCCCTATCATACGAGCATGACTGTAGAGTCTTATAGAAAACATGGGTTTTAGTCAGATTCGAACCGTTACACCTGCTTTTAGTCCGCAACGAAGCAAAAGAACATGGAACGGTGTTCATATTTGTTGGATTTCCACAGTTAGAAATAAAACAGGGAGAAAACCAACATAAGAAAACCCAAGTGATAAAGAACTAGTACAAGAATGTTTAACTATTAGAAGAAAGCAATAAGTAAATGAATTTCAACTGCTGAACTCGTTTTATAAATCATGACATGTTCGGAGTGAATCAACCATCAGGTAAAAACTGGTTATCAGTAACTTAAAACTTTATGTGATTTCATGACTTCATTTGACCATTCTGCCAATTTGTTATTCTGTCAGCTGGTCTAGGATGCTCTAACCACCTGGTGGTAATAACAGGGAGATATACCTCTTTCAGTAAACAATCAACCAAAAATTCCACACTCTATTTATATCTTGTTTTATTCATCAACCTAAAACGTGAAGCTTAAACAACCAAAGGGGTAAGAGGTGTTTTTAAACTTGAAACAGAAGTGAAAATTGATGCCGTATATGTTATAAGTAAGAAACTGATGTGTAGTTCATTAAGTGACAGTAATCCCCATAATTACTTACTTAATATTTTTTAAAAAATGTTTGGATGTTTCATCAAATGTTCTGTAGTCATTTCAACTTACCATATGGTTCAAATTACCACTATTTTTACTGCTGGAAGCCTCTCCTGTGAGCCTAAATATGCTTTACACGAAACTCAGCAAGTAATCAAAGGGTTACTACTTACCATGAATTCGTGTAGCATATAAAAAGGAATGAAGGATTGAAAAGTTCACAGAAAGTATATACTAAAAACTGATCGCAATTATCACACAGGCCGAAGGTTCAAGAACTCATAAAAGTACCACTGAGACTATTGATTCACAAGACATGACCAGTTGAAATTCCTGAAAAAAAAATTCAATTAACTGAGAAACTGAGGTCTAGAGTCAGTATCCAACCTCTTGCTCTAAGTGCACTAGTACATTTCAGCTAAGTGTACTGTGGTAGAGTGTAAACTCCGTGCCAGATTGTTGATTTTCTATAGTACACAGCGATAAGGTAATATTTACTGGATGAGTTTTCAAGCATAACTTATTTCTCATAATCGTACTGATTGTTTCTCATTAATTAATAACGAACTTTTGTTTTTTACAATATAAACCTATAGGATCAGTGAATAAAACACCCACTATAAATATCTTTGAGAAAAGGTTACATAAGCCAATATGGTTAGTCATGGATTTTTAAATATTAGGACCACAAATAGACTTGAATTGAGAGCTGGATAGATTGTATGGAACATGTCAAACTTTCATCTCAAAAATATCAACTCCTTATTAGTAGAGTGACAATCAACAGCCTAAAGGAGACGATCATTTTCTTGTGGAAAAGAAACGTACCAAAAATGTGCAAGATCTTTTTCAGTAGAAGAGAGATTTTTTATCAGAAGCAAATGAGATTAAACTAAGTCAAGACATGAAAGTTGATTTGTGATTCAAAGAAACGCCAAAGAGCCATAGTTATGTAATGAGAAGAGTACAGCTGCCTCATAGATCAAGCGAGAACTAGGGTCTACTACATTCCATATTAGGTTACTCTGTTTGACATAGTACACCGCGATAAAGTATGCGATTCCAGAAGTTCGAATGAGAAGTGACCGGTAGGGCAAACCAAGTGGAACAGGAAAACAGTTACTCAACGACGGCATTGGATGGAGGTCATGCTATATAGCGAACTGATAGAAGTAAGAGAATCTGGAACATCGGATCCCGATCCAGTGGCTCAATGGTAGTCTTGGCCACAGAAGCCGAATATCCTGAACTCGACCCATGGCGGGGTCACTGGTGCGCACTGCTGAGGAGTCTCACACTAGAGTAAAACGGCTATCCAGTGGTCCTAGACTTTCAACGGTTATCCAACTGATGTTGGTCCATGATGAATCCTGGCTTGAAATCAATTTATAAATTCCCACAAACCTCCAAACTGAAATAAATAATACTATATCCCTTATGTGGTACGTTAAACAGACTAGTCTAATACGGAATAGCATTCTACCATAGTGCTCAAACCCTACACTTACATTACGGTCTACTACACTATATGTGTTGGTCCTATCTCCATACATTTTAGTAGTCATCTATAAATCTAAGCCTAGGCAACTTTATGTAATGGATAGGAATCCATTTAAAGTTTCATCTTCTACCTTCTGATCTCCACAGGTTAGTCACGTCACTCGACTGAAAAAGTTAAAAATTGTCTAAGATGAATTACAATTCAACTGAATGAGATAAGAAATGTGAACACGTTTGTTTTAATTTTTTCCTGAATGTAAGTACACTTCAAGTGTTCTTGAATCAATTGAGTGGTTTCAGTCCAATGTTGCTAAAAATATCATATGGTTGTATCCCAAGATACTCTGGTACACCTGCAGGAAGGTATAATCCCTATCGTCCTTTCTGAACACTCATACAGCTATGAGCCACAAATATTGTGCATCAGTTGCTGATAATATGTGGCTGCCTTAGCATTCCAGTGGATGAGGCCTGGGTTAAACCCGTTATGTATTGGTTGGACGTGAAATTTCTAACCCAACAAGCCACAAACTCCACTTGTAACTCATTATCACTTTCAAGTAATTCGTACATTTCAGAAGGAACATGTATGCTGATTATTGTGTAGATGTTAGACTGACTAGCATTAAAATAGGTGAAAAATGGATTACAAATTCTTCAACTAGTTACTAACAACAGTCGATACTGTATATATTCAAATATGAAGGCAATACTTAACAAAAAGACTTTAGTACTACGGTAAAACTTCTTACATTTGTTCATTTATTTCGGCTAAATTTCGTTCAGAAACCAATGCTTCACTCTCTTTCTCCATAATCTCTTCTGAATGCTGAAAATGAGATTTACAATATTTGTGGAAAAGCATTTTGACTACTCACGAGTAGTTCAAATTAGTGCAGTAAATGGATAAAGTCAATAGATAATAGAAGTAGCGGGATCACTTTTGTTAAAACTGGAGTATATAGGTATGTGATCTAAGCGGAACTTATATAATTCTTTCTTCATTATGTGGTGACTAGACTAAGGTTTATGATGGTTTTATCTGGAAGTTGAAGCACATATGACGAGCTATGACAGAGTGGGTGAAATGTTTCCTTTATTATGTGAATGATCATATCTCATTTTCTAGACAGACATGCTTATTACCTTGACAGTAATTATAGAACGTTTTGCAAATAGTATTTCATAGCCTTAAGAAAAGTTATGATCAGAATCATAAGATTTAGTGAACTCCTCAGGACGTTTTTAACACTCATCTGTTTCTTACCAAAATCAGAAAGCGTAATGATACTTTTAGGTAAACAGTGCGTGAAATGTCACGGAACTTTCGATAGGACTGCAAGAAATGATAACTAAAAGGGAAAACAGAGGTGAAGACCATAACTATCTTTCAAAATTGTCAGTCTTCGGATTCATTCTAACTTTTAACATCGAGAAGCAAAGGATCTCTATGACAGTTAACCAACTTAGAACATATAGTTCGCAGTAAATAACAACAACACTGTAACAAATCCTTTCTTCTTTTCAATAAGATAGGCAAGCAAGTGTTAGAGGAAATGGTAAAAGTCGAATAGCCTGGGAAGGGGGGTTGGTGGTGATAAATGGCACCTAACTTTTTAAGAAATTGCACAGACTATAAACCATTCACATCCTAACAATTTTCTGTAACAGTATTATTACTTGTATTATACCGTCGTTGATTGGACCGAATTGATCGGTCTTTATTGGCATATGAGCTCTTGCATGGATGCCTTGATTTGCCTGAGTTTTAATTCTATGTAGTAATGATGGATAGTGGCTAGCAGTAGAATCCAGGATACGCATTTCATCCTATTTGGGACTAGTTAGCTGGATGTACCTGCATCTTAGTGAGTGTTGTTCCCACCAGGATTAGATCTCGGGACCGAGTAACGACTGTAAGCCCTGTAACTCGTATTTATCTAGAAGAGCATCAGTCCGCGTAAACTGACGATTTACTGCATGAAAACAAATAAACATAAATCTATGTATAGGAAGTATGCTTAGTATGCATGACAAAACATTATTCAGACGTAAAATTTGTGTACTGTGGTAGAATGTAATTCCACTTTAATTGATTTATCAGATTTATCACACAGTGGAACAGTATTGTTTACTGGATTACGTTTCGGACATAATTTATTGTTCATAATCATATCAAGATAACTACACAACTTTGAGACAATGGTTTGTATAGTTCTAATTTTCTTGCCATCTTTTCCATACAGATAGTAGGATTTTCCATATATCTGGAACAGGTGTGGAGTCATTCTTGTCGCACGTATTAAGTGTTGATTTGATAAACAAAGATTCAGTTACTAATCTCTCCTTCCACCCTGCTATGTCAGTTTTAAGAATTAGAGTGGCATTTAAACCCACAAACTCACTTCGAAATAAGCTTTGTAGGTTAAAAGATCCTATTGATCCAATTAAGCAGAATAACTTAGTTTACTAAATCCCTTGCAAAGATTGCGAGTTCAAATACATAAGTCAAAGTAGTCGACCAGGGTCAATTAGGCTATGGGAACACAAAAACCTAGCTAGGTCGAAATTGGTAGATCCTAGTAAAATAAGGAATTTGGAAAAATCTTGACCATAGCTATGCATGCAATTACACACAATAGGATGGGATAGGGTGAAAATCTTTAAAACTAACATAGCAGGGTGGAAGGAGAGATTAGTAACTGAATCTTTGTTTATCAAATCAACACTTAATACGTGCGACAAGAATGACTCCACACCTGTTCCAGATATATGGAAAATCCTACTATCTGTATGGAAAAGATGGCAAGAAAATTAGAACTATACAAACCATTGTCTCAAAGTTGTGTAGTTATCTTGATATGATTATGAACAATAAATTATGTCCGAAACGTAATCCAGTAAACAATACTGTTCCACTGTGTGATAAATCTGATAAATCAATTAAAATGGAATTATTCAGACGATTATATATACATATAAACATATTCTACTGGCATAATTCATGATAGACCAGTTAAAATATTAATAATTCTCAGGGATTTTTAGTGTTTTTTTCCTTCAAGTACTATTGAAAAACAGCAGTTAAGTGGGATAAGTAGATAAAATAGAGCGATAAATTACAAGACGATCAATTGAATAACATCATTTATTCGTAAAAAAATAAAGAAAAAGACCAAAATTACCTTCTCTAGAGCATTCATTTCTTTTTGGAAGAGTTCCAGCTCTTCTGACATTTTATCTTTATATGGAACACATCGAACCTATTAAATCGAGACAAGAAATGCCGAAAAATGATTATAACATTAAAGTTATACTTTAGCATCCTTGTACCGATCATCAAAAAAGCCTTCTGGTAGTTGAGATTGTGATTCAAGTTTCTTCTCGGCAGGATTTTTTTCAGATACCTTTTCATTATGAACTACAGTTGACAACTTATTATCTTGGATTCCTTTGGAGATTTTCAAATCTGATTCATCCTGTACAGTCTAGTGGGGAAAAGATGAATACATACATTAGGACCAGCTATACATACACACCTTGCTGTTGACTTTTGTCAGCTTAGACGATACCTCTTCAGATGGCTTATTTTCAACAGCAGGACGTTTATTGAGTGGTTGAATCCCACGTAATTCATTCTAGAAAAAAGATATATGTTGTTTATTTTCATCAAATACTTGTTTATGTGACTTGCTCAGAATATGTGCAGTCCAGGCAAATTCTGATTTAATTTGTACACCACATAAAATACATGAAAGACGACCTAGTTGATTATATCTTGCATGAGGATGATCAATAGTTCGTTGAGCCTGTGGTTTTGCAACTTTGATCAGCTGACGAATATCAGATTTTGGAATAATATCAACATTTTTTAACTTCTTATCCTTATTCATTGATGTGTAAACACACCAAATTGGGTGCGAATATTCTGTAAAATAAAATGAAAGGCATGATTAAAAGGCAATCAAAAAAACACAGAGGAAATGCTATTTACACATTTCATTTTTCTATAACAAGAAGAGTGTCAGTCTTTTGCATAACTGCGTAACTTTTAGTGAATACATCACCTCAACCATAAAATGACTACAAAAAAAACAAAGATAAGATTAGAGATCACTGGCTTTTCTTCCAATGTCAATAGACATCCCTGCATAACACTGAAGTCCGGAAACTATTATCATCTTAGATTATTTATTTATTATTGATGAGATCATTTAAAACAATTGTGACTTGGTAGATTGGGTTTTATGTGATGGGAGTGGTTGTACTTGAAGCAAAGAATCAGGATTGCAGCATAATTCCAACTGCCCAATTCCGTTTCATTCGTATTTATATGAGAGGTTTTAATAGGGAATAAGGTAAATAGTATCGGGAAAAAAGTAGCTTCTCATTTATATCACACCTACGCACGATAGCTGAAGATATATATGAGACTGGAAATCTGTTCGAGGTCAGATTTCGGGGACCAATTAGTACAGCGATAAGCCGATAGTTATTATTTTGAATTCCACTGTGAAGATAGCCTATTTAGACTTCGATCCTCTACAAAGGAGCGTTTTATCTAACGAGCAGAACTGGATAACACTAATCTATGTTTATTTGCTACAATAATACAAGCAAAGTCATTGAATGAATCCATATTTTCTTGAATTATAAATAATAGAACATAGTTATGAAAACAAGGGTAATACAAAAGCTCTAGTCATACGAAAATACAAGAACGTAAATGGAATAGCAATGGACAAAGAGGAGACTATAATATGATGAAAGACCAGTAGATATTAACTCAACAGGATTTTCATGGTGATATGTCCAGCTCTGGCACTCATACACCGTATCGGATACAGTACGAGTAAAGTCAGCTGTAAAATGACTTCAATAGTTGGAAAATATTCTTGTTCGTATACAAGGGCAGCAGTATAGCCCTATCGATTTAGTTATATTTCCACAGGATAAGGACATTGCTGTGAGGGCAGTGTTGATAGCACAGCGTGTTCAGGTTTTACGCGCATATGTAGGAATCGTATGTACTAAAGCATTGTACACCTGTTACTTTATAACAAGATGACGATTAGGATGACCAAGATGTTGGCTTAAATCGCTCTTTCGACCGGTAAATCACCTTTGGACTACTTACTTTTTCTAGCTCATATCATTTTGACCAATTTTTTTATCCCTTTCTAATAACCTGTTCGACTGTTTAAATCCAATAACTATGATATTATGTGTAGTCAAGAAACACCAAATGTACTTACACATCAAACAACATATAACACTTATATAACTATCATACTACTAACTGCATGCTGAGGTTTCCAACAACTGAAGTCGGCACCAAATAAGACGCAAGACTTTATGCCAGAAGCTGGCAATCTAAGTTGTGAATATTTCCGACACTTCTGGGATATTTGTAAAGGATCCAAGTGTGATGATTAACTAAATCACACGAATCAATCGTCATATATTTCGAGATATAACTATTAGTCCATATGACTTATTCATTTATTAATGACAAACATGTAAAGTTTACTTTCCAAATAAATCCCAGTTGGGACTCATTTTACCTGGTAAACCTCATTCACCTCTCTGATTACCCACCAAAAATCGCTACGTAAAGTGATATTAACTCAACTTCTGTGAACATTGTACTTGAGTACCATACATTTAGAGGGCCACGCTACCCAACACTACTTCTACTACATTAATACCCTACTGTAAGTAGTATTAGCTTCGGATATTTAGAGGTCAACAGGAAAAGGAATTCATTTGCAATTCCCAACAACGAAACTCCGTATTCGCAGCAAGTACATGAATAAAACTAACGTAAAACCTTAGACAGAAGTACATCAATTCTGATTGCCTCACTTCAAAGTGGAACGCGAAGAACAGGTGATATTCAAATACACATAAGTACTTACGAGGATAAAAGATTTGAAAAATACAGTTTGGTGAAAACGTTCAAACTTCCAAAGATATCGAAGCGCGAATACATGTGTGCCATCATGATAGATTTACAGTTATTTCACAGAGTTTTCCACTGATTCCTATAGTCTCTAGGACCCCAAATACGTAGTCTACACCTATCTACACAGTTCATATCAACAGTCAGAGAATTCATAGACTGGTGCCACGTCTTGGTCTGACTAGCCTGAGCCTTCTTTCAGTACAACCCTACTTCGGCTAACACTTCATATCGAGGTAGGTGGCTACTCAGTATGTGCAATATATACAAGACACCTAATTCGATGGAGGTTTATAACCTCATCGACTGACTTGTCTATCACCCTACACTTAACCAAAACATTGCTACCACGGTGACTACCCAGTACGCGAGCAATGCTGAGAAGATATATGCGGTCAAAAAACAAATTTTCAACGGCCGTCTCAGCTTTAGAATAAGACGGAATGAACTGCAACGCAAAGTACTTTTCTCTAAGTAGGTAGTCGGATATCTCCCCTGAGTTAGATATGACGCAAGTTCAGAAATGTCAAACCGGCCTTTTGTATCCAAGCTTAAGTCTCATCAGATACGAACCTATTCGAACTGATGCAGTTCAGCAAGTAAGTGAAGTGCTCAACGCATTTTACCACTCCACTCGCTTTTCTCAAACTGGGTGCAGCTGTAGACCAGTGCTGAAACATCATCTTATATTCAAATGGTGAAAAACGCATACCAAACTGCAACGATGCAGAGTTGTAAGAACGGGCGATGATAATTAAATATTGAGAGTCGAGGGTTAATGCGGTTCAACCAGAATGATTTTCAGAGAGAAATCAAAAGACTGGCAATCAACTGAGTTTATAATGTCTCGAAATGAAAGAAATAATAATTACATTTAAAGAGACAGCAGCTAATCAGAACGCTAGAGGGATATATGAAATGTGACCCATACGGAAGAAAAGAGCGCCAAGAGAAAATTCCAAAATGTACAAATGGTAAGTATGGGGTAGTATAATAGGCATCCTTAACAAAACCACTCAAATGTCTACTCATGGATTTCAGAAGACCGTGGATTTTGTCAGCATCTTCGTCTAGGAGGACACTGCCGTCTGCATACTCCGTCAACCAGATACCCTCCAGGGAGTAGGTCAATCTCTGCTCCCCAGGGTTATGTTCAGTAGTACGTCTATGATGAGATTAAACAGGAACGGTGGCAGAGGGCATCCCTGGTGGACACCGTTAGTTGTTGCCCATTAGGATGACAACTCTGCATAAACCATAACACGACTGTTTAGATTTGAGTAAAGAACTTCAATTAGCGTAACATACTTTCCTGGTGCTTTCCTCACAATTAGGCATTACCAAAACTCTTGATTGGCAGAGTCGATTGTCACTCTCAAGTTGAGAAATATGACAAGTGTCTAGAACCGGTAAGTTCGCCTGTGGCCTAAGACCTGTCATATGGTGAGGATCTGATCGATGTACCTTCGTTCTGGCCTGTCTGCGTTTTGCGGGTTTGCCATTCGCAAGCTTCAATTATGTCTGCTGATAGTAGAATCTTGAGTCGTAGGACTGTGCTTGTTATATTGATCCCCTCATCTTGAAGACAAGGAGAATGTGACTGAGGCCAGTCAGAGGGGATTATATCTAATTCCCATACGCCAGCTAACATCTTGGTCAACCTAAGTAATAGTACTTGAATATCATATTTAAATATTTCTAGTGTGAGCTCATCCTTGTCTACTACAATTTGTCAATTCACGTTACTTACAGCTTCCTAAATTTCTTTGAGTTGGAAAACTCATCTAAATGCTTCTCTCAGTATTTAACTGAAAAGTCAAAAATTGAAGTGTCATAGCAGGCTAGTTCAATTGTTCTTAGGAGTATTGCATCTATCGTTGAAGCTGTCTACCTTGAGACTGAATAGCAAATTCATTCTTCTTGACGATGATCTCAACAACCATTGAATGATTTTACCCGTTCTCTTGATAAGTTTCAGCAACTTCCTTCTCTTCTTTTATTCTTGACCGATCAGAACTGCTCGTGGTCATTGCATAGGCTCCTTGGCAATCTACGTCTATGAGCCATTCCCACTGCCCAAAGTCACCAGAGACTACAAGAATAACCTTAAATGCAATCATAAGTTCATAACCTGATGATAGCGCCTAACCTTCTTAGAGTCAGTTAAGTCCCCAACGCTCATTTCACACCAGACCAAAAACTGTGCGAGACTTCCTCAAAATAAACAACATCCAATGTATAAGCTATATTATTACTTGTGTAATCCCGGAGTAGTGTATTAGAACAAATAACAAAATAAACAAATATTTTGTATTATTCCTCAACGTTTCGATCTTGCTAGGAAGATCCTTTTCAAGAGTATGAATCTGACATTAAATTTTCAGGTTAATATTCAAGTTTTGGTACAGAAAGTGGTGACCTTTACAATCCTCCAATTACATAGTGATATGGAGCAAATATCGACGTAATACAGGTGAGTGGATAAGCAACCCGGTCAGAGAGGTTTTTTCGTTGTGCGAGTAAGTTGGGACAAAAATAGGGTGGGGAAAATTTTTAGTTCGTCTACGGAAAGTACAATGGGGTTGTGAGACATCAAGGGTGGGAAAGAATAGATTACTAGTTTGGAAGGATGGATATTTGAAGATGAGACAATATATGATAAATAAATAATAATAATCATAATAATAATAATAATGATAAATGTACTTTTGATAACACTTGAAGTATGAGTGATAACAAAATGGATTATGTTATGGTTCATCGAATGTGTATAGCTCAGAAAGCAGCGTAAAATTGATGAAAATAGTAGATCAATAAAGTGTCATCTAATAGGACTAGACAAGCTGTTAAAATACAACCAATATTTCTTTTTCCCTTTTTCCTCGTGGTTAAGACGATTAAGAGAAATAACACCGGAAACTATTCAAACAAGAGTGAATTTGGAATAAATCATGTGGAATGAAATT